ATTCACGTTGATAATACAAATTATGCATTAGGACTTGCGTTTACTGACCTAATAAACTCTTTTGGAGTCAAGCAAAATGTTACCGGGCCCACTCATCGTTTTAATCATACGCTAGATTTAATTATATCGCATGGAATTGATCTTACTGATATAGATATCGTACCTCAAAGTGATGATGTTACTGACCATTTCCTTGTATCGTGCATGCTGCGTATTACTAATATTAACTATATGGCTCTGCGTTATCGTCCGGGCAGAACTATTGTTCCAGCCACCAAAGACAGATTCACAAATAACCTGCCTGATTTATCTCAACTGCTCTGTGTACCCATAAGTACACATGAACTCGACGAAATGACTAGCAACATGGGCACTATCTTCTCTAATACATTAGAAGCTGTTGCCCCCATCAAATTGAAAAAGGTTAGAGAAAAACGTACTGCGCCATGGTACAACAGTAATACCCATTCTCTCAAGAAAAAAACTCGTAGTCTTGAGCGCAAATGGAGAAAAACTAACTTGGAAGTTTTTAGAATTGCGTGGAAAAACAGTATGTCCAGCTATAGACAGGCTCTAAAAGCTGCCAGGGCCGAGCATATCCACAAACTCATAGAAAATAACCAAAACAATCCTAGGTTTTTATTTAGCACAGTGGCTAGATTAACAAATAACCAGACGCCACCCGATCTAAATATTCCCTCACAGTTTAATAGTAATGACTTTATGAATTTCTTCACTGATAAAATAGATAACATCAGAAATACAATAGCAAATGTAGATTCTACAGCGTATAATACTTTAGCTTCATTCATCGCACCAAAAGATAAACTGCAGTGCTTTACAGCTATAGGACAGGAAGAGCTAAATAAACTTATTACTGCATCTAAACCAACAACATGCCTGTTAGATCCTGTACCCACTAAATTACTGAAAGAGTTGTTACCTGTAGCAGAAGAACCGCTTCTCAATATTATTAACTCGTCGTTGTCTTTAGGTCACGTCCCAAAACCATTCAAGCTGGCGGTTATTAAGCCTCTTATTAAGAAACCACAACTAGATCCTAGTGAACTGGCTAATTACAGACCCATCTCAAATCTTCCTTTTATGTCTAAAATTTTAGAAAAAGTTGTGTCTGCTCAATTGTGCTCCTTCCTGCAAAAAAATTATCTCTATGAAGAATTTCAGTCAGGTTTCAGGCCCCACCATAGCACAGAAACTGCACTTGTTAAAATTACAAATGACTTGCTTCTTGCGTCAGACCAAGGCTGTGTCTCATTGCTAGTTTTACTTGATCTTAGTGCTGCATTCGATACTATAGATCATGACATACTGATAGATCGATTACAAAACTATACAGGTATTCAAGGGCAGGCTTTAAGATGGTTTAGATCCTACCTGTCCGATCGCTACCACATTGTTCATTTAAATGGGGAGTCATCTCAATTATCACCAGTAAAATATGGAGTGCCACAAGGATCTGTCCTAGGTCCTCTGCTATTTTCGATATACATGTTGCCACTTGGTAATATTATTAGGAAATACGGGATTAGTTTCCACTGTTATGCCGATGATACTCAACTATATATCTCAACAAGACCAGATGAAACTTCTGAATTATCTAAGCTAACAGAGTGTGTTAAAAATGTAAAAGATTGGATGACCAATAATTTTCTCCTATTAAATTCGGATAAGACAGAGATATTACTTATTGGACCAAAAGACAGTACGCCGAATCTCGTGGATTACAATTTGCAACTAGACGGATGTACTGTTACTTCCTCTACAGTCAAAAATCTGGGTGTTATATTAGATAGCAACTTGTCTTTTGAAAATCATATTTCCCATGTTACAAAAACGGCATTCTTCCATCTTAGAAACATTGCCAAGTTACTAAACATGATACCTGTTTCTGATGCAGAAAAGCTAGTTCATGCATTCATGACCTCTAGACTGGACTATTGTAATGCACTGCTAGCTGGTTGTCCTGCATATTCAATAATCAAGCTACAGGTAGTCCAAAATGCAGCGGCTAGAGTCCTTACCAGGTCAAGAAAATATGATCATATTACCCCAATTTTATAGTCTCTGCACTGGCTACCTATTAAGATCCTTATCAGTTACAGAATATTATTACTTGCCTATAAGGCCCTTAATGGGTTAGCTCCTGCGTACCTAACTAGTCTTCTACCACGCTACAATCCATCACGCTCCCTAAGGTCACAAAATTCTGGACTTTTGGTAGTACCTAGGATATCAAAGTCCACTAAAGGAGGTAGAGCTTTTTCGCATTTGGCTCCCAACCTCTGGAATAGCCTTCCTGATAACGTTCGGGGTTCAGACACACTCTTTCTGTTTAAATCTAGATTAAAGACACATCTTTATGCATCTCATAATCTTGTACTGCATTTATATCTGATCAAATGCACATTATTATTTTTTAGTTTGGGTTAAACAAATACATTTTGCTTGGTTGGAACAGCAGCTACGCTAATTATGTTTGTATTTGTTTCTCTGTCTTTTGCCACGGGATTAACATCCCGTGGTAACTAGGATTTTCACAAGCTTCAGTCTGGATCCAGAACACCTGAGAAGAGATGATGCCAACCCTGAAACAACATACAGAACTACCACATTTTGCTATAAGTTTGATTGCATCATATAATAATTGCTGTTAATAGTGTTCATCGTCTGTTTGATTACGTCTTTAATTGATTTTTCCGTACATTTCTGCCATATGTACATTAACTGACAGTCACCACTGATAAGCTACCACTAAATATTGTAGAAACTTAATTTGCTGTAAAGTTGCTTTGCAATGATTTGGATTGTTAAAAGCAATGTACAAATAAACTTGACTTGACTTGACTAATTCGGCCTGTAAAGACAGAAACAACATTAGTATTATAAAAAGCATAAATTTTGCCACACCGTCTGTGTGGTGTCCAAATAACAACTTGTCTGGTGGGGATTTCCCGTTATCTTCTCTCGGAGGTGTTGTGCTGGATGTAGTACTGCAGGGGGATGTTGACAAGGAGCATCTGTTAGAGTGGGCAACTTTAACCATACGCTCTGCCCGACTCAAACTCCCAGCATTCCTTTGGCGATCTGAGGA